TGCTATGCCAGTACATGGAACCACTCACCCTAATTCAGAATTACCCAATGCATGAGCTGCCGTCTGGAGCAACAACATTGTGGAAATACGCCGTTGAACATGAAACAAACACTTCCACATTCATCACCAAGATCGTCATCCAGCGAAGATAAGTAGATTATTTGTACGTGTAGTGTTAATAGCCTAACTCTGGACATTAAACCTTATTTCTGAGTGTGAGCTGTCCTCGGTTAATACTATGATAATAATTAAAAACATAATTTAAATAATATTAAATACATAATTAAACACATAATTATTATTTTTTAATAATAATAAATAATATAATAATGAATATCGTTTCGATAAATATTTATCTTATGATTATAATCCTGACACTCAGTGACAATCACTCTGGCCTGATTAAACTAATGTGTTCTAATTGAGACAATTGGACAATGACTAATTGCTGCATCCTCAGTATTTCAAATATTCATAATTTATTTAATTTTCAATAATCGTTCAATCTTGGAATGTGAATTCATCCATAATCTTCTTGAGTTATAAATGCAGCAATTCGGAAAATGCTGTTTCTAACAGAATGAGCTGTGTTAGTGTGGAGACCAACCTTGTTTGTAAATTTCATGAGAAAACCATACAAAAAAAATCGAGTTATACATAAAAACATCGTACTTGAAATGCATGTTTCAATTGCCACGGATACACATATATGCAATAACCTTATCAACCGGTTCCTGTGTTATGGACAACTGCCTTTTAAAAAAATGTCACATGAATTCATAATTAACTGTTATAACTTATACATAACAAATCCTTATCTGCATTAATATATATATGCGCATATGATATTTGAATTAACCATATACTAATGGTTATATTAATGCCTATGTAATTTATTATTTATCGATTTTCACGACGTGAATAAGAATAATATTGATTAACGAGTGTTTCAATGAAGAAGATTAGTGAATATGACAGTATTTTACGAAAAAAACATAGCGTCATATAACGGCTGTGACTTACTATCCATTGTTAGAATAATTGAGTGAATTGGTGAGGTGTGACGTAATGTGCAACAGCCCCCACCCGCCCCCATATATCGAAACGATAGCTGTATATTAGCCATGGTATTTTGAATGAATGTGATCTAGGGGTTTTCAGCTGCACGAGTCAAATGGTTATGGTAGTTAAATTTCTGCATATTTTTGTAGTTACAATTGAAAGTAGAAAAAAACATAATAAAATGACATGCAATTATGGATACTATACACTGCACAGTGATACCACTTTGCTTTTCTGTTTTCCATATTTAAATATATATGTTATAATGGTTAAAATGGAGTATGGCATCAAGACTTAAGGCTTGTAAGCTAACACATATGCTTGCATAAATAACTGAAAATGATAAACTCTTGCATTATTATGGCAGTCACCGGACTAGCCGACAGCTAATACCGCAAAGCTTCTTTGGCGTGACAACAATAGGTCTATGGCAACAGCGTCAGTAGGAATCGGTATTCTGCCATTACATGTTTGAAATTCGGGCTTGTGTTCAGGCTGATCGTACATAGATTACCTTTATGGCATAGCTCAGTAACAAATACCACATAGTGACTGCTCCGCCATGATATCAAACTGTGAGCCACAAAGTATTTGGTTATTTTAATGGTGCATATTACACCAGACAGCTGTCAATGGACTTTAACTGAATACATCGAATAGGGCAATCAATAACCATGACTTTCGCAATAGCGTCCCGGGCGCCAAAAAACGAAACAGATATTAGGGAACTATGAAGAGCTTCAATCACAATAGAGAAATGTATTTCTAAGATTATGGTTTGATATATTAATTAAATATATAGACTATGGTCAACCGGAAGGATTAATGTCTGCTTGAATATAGAAAGACCTACTCCAGCTAATGTGAGCATATCATTAACGGTAACGAGGCTATATCCTGTTAGTGCTTTCTGTATATAATTAATTCAGAACACATTACGTGTAAGAATATATTTAATGTAGAATAACAGTGCACACTTGCCATGTCAAGGACATTCTCTGCATTCACGAGGAAACCAGTTTATAAAGCCAGTGATTTCGACTATACTGCGCCCTCACTAGTTCACATGGGATACATATGACGCAACCATTTACTTTGCACAATTTACATACATGGCAAACCATATCATATAAAATGCAACAAAAATCTGTGACGCAGTCAGTTTTCTCTTGGTACCTATTGGATCGTGTGAATTGCAGAGGTAAGCTGATCATGTTTTCTCAAACACTTATAATATATATTTACAGAGATTGTAATTTTTAACACCTCATATAAGCGCGTACGTGCATAATTGTGCTGTGTATTTCAACAATATCTATGTAGTTATTCTGAATACTGCAATAAGCGCTGACGTTTTTTTCTCTCGAAGACTATATTGAAATAACAGTTCAAAGTGGCGAGAGTATGATTTACATAATTTTTAATCTTTATCTTGTGAAATTTTGTTATGCTTTTTAAAAATGTGTTTGCCAAATATTACTTATCTGTAAACAGCGTTGAGAAGTTGTTTTCGCTTTGTTCCCCAGCTCAGTAGTCTACTAATTATACTCGGTAATTGTATTCACGCGCCGCGTTTTTAAAATAAGCCAAACCATCGAATGTTGAGATATTTTGCCAGGAAGCAATTAGATTTCTCCCATTGTTACTACACTACGCGCACAATTTGTGCTAATTTGACGTCACTAAATACGCGTTATTTTTTGCTGAATATCTTGTGTTCTGAAATATATGAATCGATAGAAAATGTCGATGAAGGTACAGAAAATTATCCAAGCCTGTTCATCGAAGCATTCGCCAGCATAAATGCGTAATTATTTTTTTACAGAAAAAGTAATTTTTCACCTTTGGTTGAGTAACGCGTCGTAGAATGCAGATACGGGCATGCAAAATACACTTGTGAAAAGCATGAAGTCTGGCGATTCTAAAAATATATACTTTCTATTTGTAGTCATTTAGTCACAATTAGAGGATGAAAACAAGTATGCAAATAATAGTCCCGCTACCTTAAGGTTAACATGACCCTGTGTCTGTTGCATTGATACGCAAATGACTAATCTATGAAAAAAAACATTGTTTTTGAGCGCTCATTACTTGTGAGACAGCGACTGAAACATGAGGGAAAAAAAAGAAAATACCCAGTACAAACGAGGAACGGCTAATTTTAAAATATTGGAATAAAAACGTTAATTATATTTTGATTGATCCAATCTGTTCTTCGTAAAATCGGTTATATGATTTATGAAGCTAAAATGCTTAATTGATTGTTGTTCATTTTTTGGTAAATTTCAGATCTCGCTCTCATACAAAATGTCGTGCCGCCGCCCCTGCATTCGTTGGTGATTGATTATCTAATTGGCCTTTAATTCGTGGCATAATCATCCAATGATTGACGTATCTCCTTTTCAGTGTGCATTGGTGTTCAACCTAAATTAGGATTTGAATTCAGGTCTATCTATTTTGAATCTGAGGCAACGGCCACTACGCTATCAGTGATCGTTTGAATTCTTAGCACTCACTCGAATAACCTATAAGCACATATATCTATGTGATGTTGAATTTGGTAGTTGTTTGTTAGGCTGCCTTGCTTCCCTCAAAATAGTTAAAATTTAACGATTTTACACTACAATCTATGCGTGTAATCCCGAGCTTTTAAAGGAGTATAGTTCTTTCATTAACTAAAAAAAGAAATATAAAAAAATCGTCAACGCAAGGAATTGTCTCACTACCTTAAAATAATCTGGGTATGAAGCAGGATATGCGCATACTTTTCAATGCTGCTAATTTATTATATACATTTCAGATGTATTTAAACAAATATTGGCTCCACATAGCTATCATAATGTACTTGTTTTTGTGTTTTAGTTACTTGCTGAATATGATTCCTAAAATATATATTAGTTTATTTGTCGCAATGAGTGTGTTGCTGAGTAAAGTTTATGGTAAGTCAAATATAATCACGTGTCTGGTATTATTGAAATTATTAAATTATCGTCGAGTATGAAATATAAACATTTATCGACCTTGTTGCAAACAATGTATTTGGACATAAGCTTCCTAGTATTGTTTTATGGTAGGAATTTGTGGTTGTGCCCTAACATATTCCTGCAATAGTTTCCGCCTGGACCTATTTAGGAATGACTAAACACCAAATTAACATTGCCCATGACCTGAGCTTACCCAGTAGGACTTCATTTACAATGACGCCACCATTGATCAAATAACATTCTAAAAGAGAAATACATTCTTAACGCCAAGAAATGTTTTCTCCAAATCATAATGTGAGTGCATTTCTTTAAAAAATAATATGACAATGAAAACAAAATTGATACTGGACACTGATTATTCATAGTCACGAATTTTATTTAAACTTACAGGATCTTGTCAATATTACGAGTACCAGTGTGGTGATGGTAGTTGTATTTCGGATTATCTACGATGTAATGGATCTCCTCAATGCTCCGATAATTCCGATGAAACTGACTGTGGTATAATATTTACTTTGCTATTTTTCACAAAGAATTTAGTCCTTGCCTTCTACGTGATATGGCTGATACGTCTCAGATCAATGATTTGATTTGATTTAATAATACCTATAATAATAAGCGCACTGTAATTTTCACGTTTCCTGAAATATCTGGAATTTTGTGGAATTTAAATATACATCACTGGTACTTAGAGATTGTCATATAGAGAAGCGCGAGGCAATCATCGTTCAATTTAGTCGATAGAAAGCAAATATGAAAACGCAAATAATATACTATTTTATACTAGATAACGAGTAATGTATAATATTTTTCAACAGGTCAAATCTGTTACGATTGTAACTATATGTATGATGTTGATTACCCAGACTACTTTGGCTGTATTGCTGGCAGATATCCGAATAATTGCTACCAAGATGTAAGTAACAAACGTTAATTGTAGTACCATTGAATAATCGGATTTCATTTGTCATTATAGCATCATTCTCTACATTAATTCTGCTTGTTATGTGTTCTGAACATAATTTCGTAGTATAGCATGTACACGATTTGTTTGTCACATATATGAACAGGAGTCAGAACGCACCGCGTTAATATGTTATGTTTATATGCAGGAAATCTGTTTTACAAAATACACGCAGTCTGGTAATAAAACTTCTATCTCACTTGGATGCATGAATAATGTGGTACGTATTGCGCATGCTCATGATTACCATATTTTTTGGATATTGTATCAATACCTAATAAGATCGAATATACATACATGCCTAACACTAACGCACCATTAATGTTGCAATGAGAGCGTACTAATGTCAAAGTGTTAAAAAACGAAGAATCATTTTAAGCCTTGTTGACTTATAAAATATTTTTTTTTAGTTTACCAGTAAATGTATTGTTTTTGTTTATGTCTATGTTTCACAGACTAAAGGCGAAGGATTTCTTCATCCAATATAAAATTTGTCAATAAATAAAGTTCCAATTAATGCCCAATGCCAATTAGGCCAATAATTCATGTGAAAGCAATGCTGCTGTTAAAATTTTATTTTACGGAATACAAAATAATGCAATTACTGTCTTTTATTTTAGGATTGCGAGACAGAAAAAGCACTGAATGACCAAAGTTGCAACGAAGATGAACCTGATGCTAGTGAGACAGACTGTACATTTTGCTGCAATGACGACGTGTATTGCAACGGTAGATAGCTGAAAAGGAGTCCGTCATTCCGCGTGTCACACTTCTATATAATTATGTTATTATTAAGACATCATAAAGATTGGAGTGTAATAAACCCCTAAATAAATACAACAGCGTATATTATGTTCATTGGTTTGAGTGAATATTGTTGTAATATTATTTGTTTGTTCTGTCACGGTATGTCATATTTCATCAGTGTTAATAATCCGTGTATAGTTTGCGAGCACGCTATAGTTTACGCAATATGTACGACTGCAACTGAGGGCTGATGGGTAGAATTTAATATATCGGTTTCATGTAACTGTACTTTGAATGGTTGTTCTGGAGTATAATATAATTATATACTATAGTATAATTCGATTAATATAGTATATAATTCTCATCTAGAATCTACGTTTCCCCGTAATCCATGTTTCCCCGTCTGTATGCTTTCTCCAGTCTATAGCATCATAGTGTTTTCTACATAATAGTCATATAACAAGGAACACTACCAACATTATCACGTTGGTCACTTTAGGCAGCTTGTGTTGCAAATAATTTGTATTGTATCGTAACTTACAATCAAATACAATTTTTTATTTTTATTGATATTCTGTGATCTATTTTAGCAGCATATACTGTAGACTTGATGAATTGTAACGATGAATTAGGGCAATCAAACAAATTAAGGTAGATACCTGATCCATTTTCCTTCCAGGTGAGACTCGTCTGGAGCACGTTTACTACCTTTAACGTACAACCCAACTCGCGGCAGATCTCCGCCTCGTGCGGTCAAAACATTTCATTGCTCCATTTAACTACAATATCTATAATAGTGAAGCACACATTGTGTCTGGAAACTAGTCGGTTAATTATGTATGTATTTAATACAAATGAAAATAGATGATGTGTCATAAATAATCACGAGGACTAGGTCAGTTATATTTCGCAGTTGGTGTGAAATAAACTTGCCAGTGTAAAAAAATAATAACTCAAAGGTAGCATTTCACTTTACACATTGTTACATGCATTTAGCTTATATATATATTACAGCTTATTGCAACTTAACATAAGACCATTGGAGAGGGAACGTAACTGTGTATTGCTACGTTACGGAAGTGGCAGTGACATTACGACGCATGTCTAAATTATCCGCGGTTTATTATGTGGTTGTTAACAAAGTTACCTTTATTAGGTTAGAAAATATGCTACTTGACATGCATTTTTTACACTCGTATATACAATAGAATAATTAATACGCACACATAAATTATAAAAATATATTACTTGTACGATCCACAGCATCACAACGTCAAAATAAACATGTTAGAGTGTTTGCCATAGACTATTAATGCACAAAGAGAGCACAGTCATGGGAAGAACGTATTGCAAGACAGTGACTGTAATGACAGACTAACCGATGCGAAACCAGAGTAAGAATAATTGCCTGACAATATAAAAAAAATATCAGCGTCATAATTCACACAAGAATCAACGTTATTATTCATATATTCATATTCGTTTAATTCATAACAGAAATTTACATTAGCAGGGAATATCGTAAAAATCTTTAAATTGACAGAAAAACACTTTTAATTTGCAGAACAAAACGTTATGTTTCCTCTTGGCGGAAGTCATGCTCACTTAGTTTGTGGGTAAATTCGTAACAAACAGTGGTTGCATCCTTCTTCAGTTGTCTGAGCTTTTCCCTAGGGATAGTACATTGACCTGGTGTAGCGAACCAGGAGTGTCTAATCTAAGAGATACACAGAAATGAACGTTACAACATGTTTAATTTTGTGTTGTAACAGACTCGTGACATTCGTTTAAGCAACACTAACACCTTATTGACTATCATCGTCAGTTTGACCGAGAAACGTGTCCTAAAAAATGTGACAATCAATTAAACACCCAAGATTAACAACAACAACAAAACGTTTGATTATAATTTTGATTACCAACAAAATGATGTAAGCGCATGAATAGAAGTATTTAGATTCAATCAAAAATGTGAAAGCCCTTACATACACAATAAATGACACAGAATGCGTTCGTGAATACCGGACCGATAACTTTTACTCCTTGTGTCCCAAAGAAATCTGCTACAACACTAAAAGACAACAAGTTTTTTAACAGCTTTGGTGGGATGTGCTGATTTCTGCTGTTCATCATACTGCTAAAACTTGTTGGACAACAATAAAAAACACTTTGTGTCACCAACGTTTCATAATCGTCAACCTCAGTTTTGTACAATTAATTAATTAATTCCTTGAATCGTTTTGCTTTTAATATTATAAAATTGTCACGAAATCACGCCAAAAAATAACCCCGAACCACAGAATATTATTCACTATTTTTACCACCTCATGTATGGGTTCTTAGCCAGTTTGAAATCACACAATTTGTGTAACACAGGGATAATTCAGAGCAGTATAGTTATAATACTTATATTTAAGATACTATTACATACCAGTTAATCTTACACATGCGGCGCCACGTATCAAACCTGGTTTATTAGGTACAGCAGTATTCATGCTTGGTGTGTGTCCCATCTATTGCAATATCGCGAGCCTCTGAAATACTTCAGTGCTAACTCGGCCTTCACCACGCATCAACGCCAGTAATCGATTAGTAAGAGGTGTAGGTGAAGATATGCCTTATACACCAATTCAAGGTTGATAACAATCAGTCGACAAATACGATAAAAAGCTTTTAATATTCTTCATATATATATTTGTAAAATATCACATAAATATACAAGCGACTAGACTGTTCACAAGTAGATCGTCAAAAACTACTTTCACAACTAAATGACTTGATTTCCTCTCAAGTTTGACTTCAGTCTTCGATGATATGCTATGTTAGAATGCTCGCCATAATTCTGGATCATCCAAACCGTTTCCTTGAGCAGCACCCTTGTAGAAACATACCGTCGAACGTTAAACATCATTCATCACGGCTACAACACTTCAACATTCATCACCTAGTGAAGTTACGTCAGCAATTTGCACGTACAGTGTTAATTGTATACCTCTGAACTATGAACTCTATTTCTGAGTGTGGGCTGTTCGCAGTTAATACTACGATAATAATAAAATATATATAAATTTATCGCTAATAATAAACAATATTATAATAAATCTCGTTATAATGAATAAATACACAGTTACATATTGCATGTACAACATTAATTCGTTTTTATAACTACAAACAATACAGACAATGCAATGTAATTGTAAACGGGTCGTAACAATCGAGACTTATGTTGTTATCGAGTCGCCTGGCCATGTGCTGGAACAATCTGATTTTTTTTATTTTTATGTATATTTTTATTATTATTATTATTAGAGGATCTTTTGATTTTAATTTCCAATACTAAGTTTTCTATATCGTATTTAAGTAGCCTAAACTACATCTAACTGTAGACATGAGAATCTCGTAAAAAAATCGTGTAAGAGTCAACCAATCAGAAATAAAGCAACAAATAACCTAAGGATGAAACGGTTACCCAGATTCGTTGTCTATGATAACATGTAAGTAATTTGTGTTGACCAATTTTGACCTCACCTAGAGTTGATTTATATTTGACAATATGTTAAATGTCTGGATCATTGTGTTCAGAACCCCAGTTTTACTTAACGTTTCGTCATTGGTTACCCTAACACATTGTTATCAACGTGCACAAAATTGTTTTTTGCAAACTATTTTGTTTTGCTCCAAACTCAAAAGTAATGAGGCACACAATTGTGGTTTCATATTCGTAAAATATTGTTTGAATAATAACTACTTTTCTCTATTTTTAGCGTTCAAAAAAACGACACAAAGTTTAAGCAATGAACTACTAAAATCTAATCAAAAGAAAAAAATATTTATTAAAATTCATTGTGATGAAACATGTGTTTTCCGTATTTACATCTTGATGTGTCCCGAACAGTTTTAATATGTAGGTCTGCATTCGTTCGTCAGTTATTACCATTAATCCCAAGACCTTATTTTTGAACTTCTCGCTATTTTTCACTTGATGCAAGTGCCTATAAACAAATTCTAAGGGTGATTTTAGATATTATATTTGACAAATTATCAACGAACAAAATAAAGGTAAAATAGGTAATAAAATGTTGTCTGTCAATAAAAGTAGAATTCGCAATCAGGAATAATCAGTTTATTTCAAATAAGTATAAAAAATATTCTCTACACGCATTTTGTGTCTGTTTACTGTTAACTGTTTGTTTTTTGTTCTAAGTAAAGATCACATACACATGTAATTAATTAAAGTCAGTAAACTAAAGATATGCAGGCTTGAATGAAAGAAAAAAAATTAAAAAGGGACATTCTGAGCTATGCATAGAAAGACTCGAAAGACAATTTGTATTAACAGGTGGTTTGAATGCTGCATCAAATTAGATACCATTTTTGATTTGTACGAATGCCAACACAACATCTTGCAATAATTATGGTGTTTTAAAGGGAAGTCAGACACGCTGATCAAAGCCAGCTTGTAAGTTAGCAAGAACTTTACTTATGGTAGACTAGACAGCGACGCCATCTTCAAAGTGCGTCAATATATCAAATCGCAATTAACTCGAACAGATATGTTCTCCAATCGTAATTAAACTTAACCAAGTCAACATCTGCGATAGCATTTTTATTTGGATAACTTCACAGTTTGTCATTTTTGAATCACGCACGCAGACAGCATTTTTGTAAGGCGCACTGTGATTGGTCGACAAAACTTGGCGAAATGAGAATGCAATATGCAGGGAGACAAATGCATTTAAAGCGACCGATATGCAATTAAAAAATCCTAATAACAGTGCGTAGATTTTGTATTCAATAAAGAAATGTTAAAAATGTATATAAAAATACAAAAAAACAAATAAAATTGAGTCTAGAAGCTATACCTACATCGGATTTTAATCGCATTGTGTGCTGGTAGAGCAGAATAACCAATATTCGAAATCTTTTTTAAAATGATACTTAATATAATATAGGATTTGTATGAAAGTGTGCATCTTACCATTGGTTAGAAATTTCAGTAACAGTTATTGTTTTTTACAACTAAAAAAATGGGTTACAAGAACAACTATAAATGAACAGACAGTGTGTATTGTAAAGAATCGGAACGAAGCTGATATTTATAATTC